TTGGGATTATCAGAAACAAACTGTAAAAGAGCTACTTAGCAGTGTTCAAGGAGATAAAAGCCAAGCTTGGATTTCAGCAGGGAGTAATAAACAGTAAAATAACAGATTTGAAAATGAACCATATAGGAATTTCAGAACTGTTAAATGCAGTAACCAAAATTAAGAAATCAGTGTATGATTTTAACATCAGATTAGACACAGCTGAAGAACAAATTATCAAAGTAGAAGACAAACTAGAAGGAAATAATCAAAATGCAGCATGTAAAAACAAAAGCATAGAAAATACAGAAGAGAAGGATAAGAGATATAGAGGACACAGTGAAGTCTAGTATACTAGTTGAACTCTCAGGAAGAAAAATGATAGAAAAGAAGGTCGATAGTTGAAAAGAGAAAGGCTGAAAACTTACCAGAATTTATGAAAGACATACATAGATTCAAGAAATAGAAAAAAATTCCATGCTGAGTATATTTTTAAAATCCTTACCTAGACACATCATGATGACACTGTAGAATGCCAAAGATGAATAGAAAACTTTAAAAGCAGCTGCAGAAAGAAAGCAGATTTCGTTCAAAATAGTGACAGGCTGACAGCAAAGTTCCCACTCAAACAGGAACATAGTAGCCACAAGAAAGTATAGTGATATCCTCAATACACAGAAANTCAAAGAATGTAATAAATATATGGATAAAGCTAAATAAATACTGACTCTATAGAATAATAACTAATAATATCTTATATTTAAGTATATATAAATATTTACATATATGTCCTATTATAATACATTACCAAAAATAGCATATAAATCAGAAGGGGTAAATGTAGTTAAGGTGTTCTAAGTGCTTTTACATTGTGTGGGAAAGGATAAACCTATCAATTTATATTAGACTTGGATAAGTAAAGGTGGAATAAAACCTTTGATAAACAGAAAACATAAAAGCTCCCAGAAGATAACATAGAACAGTATCTTCATGGCCATGAGATAGGAAAATATTTCTTAAACCGGACACA